ACACACACACACACACACACACACACACACACACCACAGAAAGAGATAGAGTTAGCATCAGTACAAAGTGGTAAAGCTATTGGTAATATTTTGAGAGACTATGTCGGCTTCAAATAGGAAATGGAACTCTATGGGTCAACCATAGAAATACTGACACTGGGTGTAAGTGACTTAGTGAAATTATCACTTATTGTATTATTAAACATGTTGTTGAGTCTCACTGCCACACAAACAGTTATAATGTGACACACCCTAACAGTATCCATGGGTCCATTGGGCTCTCTACATGCATATCTACAAAACAAAGCGGCATCTCTGAAATTAGGTGCTTTCTCATTGATGTCTTCAAGAAAGCAGTAGGAGGAGTGCATCCCTCCAGCAACGCTAACGCTGTATTTCGCCAGGTGAAATGTTAGAGGCTTTAGGCAACAGGCCTCTTCCCTCACTCAAGAGTTGCTCTCCTGATGCATTTTGACAAGACATAAAACCTAAACACACTCTTTAACTTTCACCCTTTTTATCCTGTCTTTCCATCCCTCTGCAGTACATCTTATCTAACCCCCTAATCCTTCCATCTCCCTCTGTCTTTGCCTCCTCTTCACCATGTTGCTCCTTCCTCAGACCAATAATTTAATTAAAAGAAATACAGAAGAATCAGGCCGAGTAGCGAGGCCACTTGACATTTAGTGCCGACATCTGAACTTAATGATGTATCGTCGCCCCTGCCACCAACCTCTTCTTCTCAGCGCATCACAAGAAGAAGAAGAAAAAAAACTCTCCCTCTCCACCGCTTATCTCTCTGCAGATTACACTTCAGCTATTATACTAAGCTAATAGCGCATGTAGATACTTTATGAATGAATTTGCCAAATGCACCAAACACTTAAGAAGAGGGGATTTAGCAAAAAGGAGGATGGGGAGTAAAGAGGGGGGTCTTGAAAAATAGGAAATACTTAAAGATATGCAAATACCCTGGCAAAAGAATGGAATAACCATTTCAACAGATTTGAGTAGGGGCAGCAAACAATGGAAATCTGCTCTATTTCCCTGGGAACTACTTGTCAATCAATGTGTATGTGTGTGTGTGTGTGTGTGTGTGTGTGTAGTCAGGATTAGGGTGACTAGGAGGTTGTGACAGTGTGTAAAATGAAAAGGAAGCACAATACAGAAGTTTAATTTATTACAGAAGGAAATATGCTCTGAGCCCAGAGAACGACTAAATACCTGCGTGTGTGTGTGTGTAGAGAGAGAGCAAGGGAGAGAGAGAGAGGGCAAAGGAGACATAGATAGAGGGCGGGAGGGGCAATGGCGATATACTGCCTCCTCGCTGCTTTTCTGTACAACTACAACTGTTACTTACAGCTCTACAGTTCACTCACACATCCAGGACACGTTTAACCAGATACATGTTAAGATTTAGATATTTGTCATGAATTAGGATGAACGCCTTATATTTTGTCTTAGAGTAGTGTGTGTGTGTGTGTGCTAGAGTACCAGTCCTGCCCTCTCCCCTGGTGCCAGCTGGCCCTGGATCAATTCACAGATGCTCCCCTGGTGGGGGGGCAGGGGTCAGGGCAAGAGGGGTGCCCGGGGGTCCTGCTGAATCCCTCTGCCCCAAAATGCCAATGGGACGGGCAGGGGGAAGGAGGGGGCGGGGATTCTTTTGTCACCGAGAGATGGATTAATTAGACTGAGTGCTAAAAGAACCTGGCTTCTTTGTATGGACCTGGTCTGACTGACACACACACACACACACACACACACACACACACACACAGTTGGACAGTGATAGCACATCATGAACAAAAGGAATAAGAGCCCAATATAGACACACACAATCAGCTAATGTTTTTGTAACACGGGTTACCACTGTTGGTTACAAATCTTTTTTCCTTATTGATCAATATAACAGCAACTTTAAAGACAATTAATACACTAACATTATTTATTCCTATATTAACTCTGACTTCTCCAACCATTATTGTCAGTATGGTACAAGCGATTTTTCAGTGGTTGAAGAGAGCAGTGATGTTTGTGTGTTGTCGAGGAAGATGGAGGATAAAAACATGGCTTTAGCATCACAACTGTGACGATAAGTGATGAATCACTGGTTCCACATCAAGCAGATGAGTATCTGACTTAAGCCTGATGCCTCAAAACAAAACTGGAGGGAAAAGGGACAAACTGAGGTCAGTTGCACTCTGACTACAGACCTTGTGAAGACTACACATCTAACAAGTCACATTCGACATCTAATAATTCCAGAATCTGTCTGTATGTGGCTCAAATATCTTAATAACTGTTTTTGGAAGTGCAGAGTCAAATTTGGTGCGATTTGGATACTTGAAATATTCAATATTAATAAACTTTGAATAAAC